GTGTGTGTGTGTGTGTGTGTGTGTGTGTGTGTGTGTGTGTGTGTGATTGGGTGGGGGGTGGGTGGGCGACCCATCCCCTACCAATCAATCAATCAATCAAAAAAGAAAAAAAAAGTAAAAAAAAAAACAACGAGAAAACCCGCTTTCAAACCCCGTGCAACTTCAGCGTGGTGGTATGTGTGTGTGTGTGTGTGTGTGTATTGTTACGTCATGTGAAAAAAACATCATGTCGAAAGGTGGTATGTTATTCCATGCCACCATCAAGCCCCAAAACAAAGCATCGGCGCGTGCCCCATAAGACCTTATCAGACGAACACAGGATTTCGCAACGCCTTCCTTATCCATTCCAAGGGGACCATACGGGATTCTTCAGGGTAATTCCCAGTTCATGATGCGCCATCGACCTGGAGGTAGTTTTGCACTAGTATTGCCAATAAAAAATGCGAACTCTTATAAGGGCGTGCACACAACTTATCATACGAAAACATTAAGAAAAAACATTTATAAAAGAAATAGGCTCCACCGGTGGGTGCGTAGGAGTAAGCATAAGTAACGAAATATCAGAGCGCACATACACATATAGCTGCGTAGGAAAAAAGACAGTACGTAAATATCCCCGCCGTTTCCGGGTCTGAAGCATGCCGTAATTGAGATGGCAAGAGAATTCGCAGCCACGTGTATCAAGTTGAGCGATTGGGCTACGTGGCTACGATTCCTCGTAGCCCCAATCGGAGGGGTAAGATCTTATATTATACATAGTAATGAATTACCCGCGGCTCCTACTGGTGGATCCGGGCCCGTCCCTTTAGCAAACCATCGCATTGGCTACTAATTACCGTAGGCAATGTTTTACCAGGGATGGGTAGCGTAGAAAATACATATATATTGCAGGAAGGTATTCCCTGGGATCCCAAGAAAGGAGGACTGTCCTTTATTCGCCACGATCTTCTCCGGAAGGCTGAAATGCCTATGCCGTGATTATTTTCACGTATCCGCATATCTGCCTTCCGCAGAGGTGTGCGATGATCTGGGAACGGACGCAAGGAATTGACATCTTTATACGAAAAAGGTGTATACTCGAAAGTGACACGTCAATCTCGTTTGAAAAGGGATTACACAATGGAACCCGACTTTTCTTTGCGAAGAAGAAGACTCA